TGTCCCCGTCGGTGCGCCGGATTTTGCAAAGCAAGGAAGTTCTACCACACTACACGAGCAGTCAGTGAACACGAATGCATTCGTTTCTTGTATTAATTATTAAGATATCATCCTTTTGCGCCCTTCGAGATGCTAGGTTTAACAACAACAAAAAGGGTACTATCGTTCAATTTCACTTAAGTACAATGGGGACTAGCTGAGACGCAAAAGTGAGTTGGAACATTTTTTTAGTGAAAGGCTTAAATGCCTAGTTAAAAAAAAATTGAATGACTTTCCATACATTAGAGTCCAAATATTTGCTTGGCTATAAAAGTGGACTGTCTCTTCAAGGTGGTTTTTTTTGATAAATTTCAACTGTATAGCCCCTTTCCTCTTTGCCGCCTATCGGTGCACCACAATTGTATACTGAGGGAAATATAGCATTTTGTTAACCAACCGGTGGCAGTGCTCTTAGAGAGCTTCGGATAACGAAGGTTCACGTTGATCCACTGGAGTATGTTTTGGACCAATGAAATGATGGCAATTGTGGTTCCAAAACGTAGAGCTATTCCAGGAACTAAAGCTCTCTATTCTGATGATTAAAGTCACAATAAAGATAATCCGAGAATGGAGCGATTCCCGCTGCTGTTTGAACGCGTTTGAATCCTATTCTGATAAACTTATTTTTTCGCTTGTGATTTGGGTCTTACCACTACATCGGCTCTCTACAACTTCTTCACACGTATTCCCGCTCGTTTTATTTACAACCTAACCAGTGGATTTACGCTGAGGTCAAGATGCTGAGATGTGTGTAGACTCCATTTCAGCTAGGATATGAATTCATGTTTAGTTCTTAATCACCGAGCGGAATCTTGATACTGTCAAGGTCATTGCTGCGGCTTGCAGATTCTGTATCAAATACGGTAGAGAGAGAGACGCCCGGGTAAGCGAAAGAGAAGCGTCAGGAGATGTGAATCATTGCGGTAAATCAGTGGCAGAACTGGTCGCCGGCCTAACCGTGGGGCGAGCAAAAACTAAGGCAACCGGCGATTCACAAAAACAAATCTAACGAGATGCAGCTACCAACAGGGATCGGAAAATATCAAAGTGTATTGTATTGGCATGTTAAATAGAGTAAAATATTTACTGCAGTATCAAGCTCGTCAACAATAATTACTGCAACTATTGTGATTATTTTCTAACGAGTCTGCCACGTCGAATTCGCCACCGTAGGTGGCGCTGACGAATAGTGCCTCATTCCACACGTTAGCATTGGACTTCAGGATAGCATGAGATTCGAAATACACTGGGGGTAGCGGTGAATGCATCGGAAATTCTATACAATATATACTGCGAGCATTGCTCCCATCGATTACTCATGCTAGTGGGAGACATATTGTTCAGCTTTTGCTCCGAGAATCCATGGCATTATGATAGTTACGCTTGCCCGCTGGAAAACACCAAGAGCAAAGTCATTATCAGCTCTATTCCTCTTGTTTTGTTATAGTTTGCTCCTCCGCACAAAACACTCACTTTTTCAACCACTGCATCTGGGACAGGTAAAACGTTGGTGTTTTTGATATTATAGCCGTATATTCGAATGTCAACGGTTGCACAGCCTTGCCGTTGGACGTAGCTATTAACACGTGCTCCACCTGTGCCAGGGCCTAGCAAATACAATTATCAATGTTACTGCTTGTTCTAGAGGTCCGTAGTAATTACTTCAATACACAAGGACACAATTATAGTTACTGCAATCATTTCAATGTATTGGCCAAATACAAAACTCTAAAGATGCCCTTCCTCGTCATCCTCAATACAACCGAGAAGAGTTGCTCCAAAGCTCCATATTAGCCCTCAAAAACATCATTACCTCAATGTTTGCAGGCAGGGTTGATGCACGCAGAGAGGTCAAGACCAGCTTACATCCCGAAAATAGACGCTCGCATGCGTTGCTTGTTGGAGGGACTTCATGCAAAATAGGGTCGTACTTAGCGACAACATGCTCGGAGCGTCGACGTTTCTTTGCCTGCCGGAGAACGGTTGAGGCAAAATCAACTCGATGACGCACTGCAGCGCTTGATTCATTTGTAGGAAGCACGAACGCCTCGATTTCTTGTTGCTCGGGAGATGAAAGCGGGAGATCGTTCTGGACTTTCACAATAGCAGACTCAAAGAGGGGGGAGTGAACGATTTGGGCAGCCGGTTGCAAATACTCACTCATCTCTGGGTACTTTACCATACATGCGTCAAACAACAGACGCACCTCCGCCATAGAACGTTCCTTTGCCTGCAACTTGACACAAACACTGTCAAGCTCTACGAGCTTATCGGCCACCGCAGCAATGCGCCGGTGGCCCTTCCCTCGCGGAACGAGCTCCTCCACAGCACTGACGGTAAGATTTGCATCGCGTATCTTCATGTACCGCTGTAGCATTTGGTATGTAGATGACCATCGCGTCACATTAGCCTTGATAGGCTTCAGGTGGGTTACTCGGGATAGCGCAGCAGCATTGTTGGTGTGACGTAGTTGAATCATCAGATTTTGAATCATGTCAATCTGAGTCTGATACCCCTCCAGAAACCGATTAACCGCAAGATTTAATCGATGGTTAGCACAGCTAATCAGAGGAATCTTGAGCATTGATGCTAAACACTGATTGGTCGAACAATTGTCTCCTATGAGGAAGCGTACCATGCTCAGGTCCTTGTTGTACAGCATCAAAACCGATTCCATGTGCTCAAGGTGAGCACTAGCTGTTTGGCCATCATCCATCGGGAGAGTGACAGGAGCCGCTGGTTTCGCACTCCGTTCACCACATAGACCGCAAAAATGCCCAGAA